CCTTTGTGACCACAAAAATTCTGTAAAATTCGAAAGATCCCATATGGTCCAGGACCTCTTCTTAGAGGTGAGGGTGCTGGAGGACATGGCGAGGGCAGACGGTGGCATCCTCAGGGTCTGGTTTCTTTCTTAACTCTTCAAATCCTGGAGAGATGGGTGTGTAGGTGCCAGGCCGTCTTTCTGATTAGAGTTTCCCCTTGATCCCTACCAAAATATTTTGGGAAAGGAAAGGAGGCTGGAGGAGCACTGACCAGGAAAGCAAGCAAGGCCCTTTCCTGAAAGGCTTCATCTGTAGGAGGCAGCACTTTTGATCCGGGCTCCCAGCATATCAGAGAAACGTTGCCTTGCTCTGTCGCGTCTTAACTGAGGAGATGCCAAGTTTATTCCTCCATGTTTACAGTGAGGCTTGTTTATTTTGACACCCTTTCTGTGGTGTTGTGGGAAAGCACAGAACTTACAGAGAAGAGCCCCATAAAGTAAAATGTCTGTGATTAAGCCAGCAGAATGTGTGCACGTTGGTTTTTTAAAAAGCCATATTTGCATATAGATTGTACACAGAGAAACTGTTTGGTTATATATACTCTGAAACTCTCGGGAGGTGGTCAGTTGTAGTCTGCAAGTCACAAAAGGAAAAAGTAAGTCATACAGTAATGGACACCATCTCGAAAAATGAGATGAGAGGAAGCAGCCTCCATCTTTCATATTTCTTTTTCCTTTTCTAAGCTGGTTTTAATAGAGACGTTTGTACAATGGCTTAGAGGGTGACCCAGGGGTCATGTCCGTCACTGGATTTGCACAGAGTTTGAGTTCTCTTATTTGCTTTAATAATTCATGCTATCTTTTATTTTTCACAATGAGGGCTAATCTATAGCAATTCCATCTCCCTTCCTCAGGGACAATGTTATTCTTCAAGAATATTTCCTTGGAAAATTACTTTAAGAAACTATGAGAGAAGAAGAAATATATATCTTAATAAGAACTATCCTTGAAGGAGTTCCTGCATAAAGAAAATAGAAAACATTCTAATTACAAGCAATGACAATATCCAGACCACCAAAATTCCCACATGACTAATACTTCACCTAGCAAATGATACTGGGAAAACCATAGTATTTTCTTTCTAAAAAAGAATCCTTTTAAGTTTTATTTTTAAAATTATCATCAGTGAAATGGACTTTCTTCTGTTGGTGTACAGTTCTGTGAATATTAGCACATGGATAGACTTGCATAGTCACCGTCATAATCAGGATACAGAACAGCTCCATCACCCCAGATAACTCTTCCCTCTACTCCAGTTCCTGGCGACCACTTATCTGTTCTCTGTGCCTAGAGTTTTATCTTTTGGAGAATGTTACGTAAATGACATTAGTATATCATATTGTTAGGTAACATTTTGAAACTAACTTTTTTTGCTCAGCATAATTTTTTTAAGATTCATCCAACTTCTTATAAGTATCAATAGTTTGCTCCTTTTTATTATTAAGTAGTGTTTTATTGTATGGATGTACCACAGTTTATCCATTTACCAGTCGAAGAATATTTGGGTTGCTTCCAATTTTTGGCAGTTATGAACAAAGCTGTCTGTAGGGTAGCTACTCAGGAGTAGAACTACTGAGAGAGACACTGAATACATATTTAACTTTATAAGTAACTGTCAAACTGTTTTCCAGAGTGTCTGTCTGCACCGTTTTGCATTTCCACCAGCAATACGTGAGGGGTCCAGTCATTCTGCATCCTTGTCAGTACTTGATATTGCCAGCATTTTTAATTTTAGCTATTTTAATGGTTTTAATTTGCATTTTCATAATGGCTAATGATGCTGAGCATCTTTTCATATGCTTTTATCCTTCAATGAAGTGTCTCCTTTTACATTTTTTGCTCTTTTTTTAAAATTGGGTTGTTTTCTTATTGTTGAGGTTTGAGAGTTCTTTATTACGCATACAAGTTGAACGTGTAATATTTTTGCCCAGTTTGCAGTTTTTCATTCTCTGAATAGTGTCTTTAGTACAGCAAAAGTTTTTAATTTTGATAAAGTCTAGGTTATCAATTTTTTTCTTTTGTGGAGTATGTTTTTTGTGTCATGTCTAAGTATTCATTGCCCAATCCAAGATTATGGGTTTTCTCCTAAAAGTTTTCTAGTTTTACATTTTACATTTAGATCTATGATTCATTTTGAGTTGACTTTTGTATGAGGTATGACATTTAGGTGAAAATTTACTTTTTGGACTACAGAGGTCCAATTATTTCAACCATTTCTTAAAAACACTATCCTTTCTCCACTGAATTACTTTGATCCTTTGTAAAAACTCAATCAGCCATATTTGTGTGGAATTATTTCTAGAGTCTCTATCTGTTCCACTATGTGTTTATCCTTCTTCTAATATCACTCTCTCTTGATTACTATAACTGTATAGTAAGTCTTAAAATTGGGTACTTTAAGTCCTCCCATTTTATTCTTCTTTTTCAGAATTCCTTTAGCTATTCTTGTTCATTTGCCTTTTCATGTAAATTTTAGAATCAGCTTGTCTGTGTCTACAGAAAATTCTTCTTGGATGTTGATTGGTACTGTATGGAATCTATAAATCAATTTAGAGATAATTAATATTTTTATTATGTTGAGTCTTCTAATTCATGAACATAGTGTGTCTCTCCAATTGTTTAGGTCTTCCTTGATTTCTTTCATCAGAGTTTTGTAGGTTTTACATAGAGATCCTATACCTAGTTTGTTAGATATATACCTAAGTATTTCATTTTTGGAACTATTGTAAATGTTATAGATTTTTAAATTTCAGTTTTTAATTGGACACTGTTAGTGGTATTAATTTCTATGGCCGCTGTAACAAATTATGACAGCTTGGTGCTTAAAACGACAGAAATGTATTCTCCCACAGTTCTGGAGGTCAGAAGTCCATAATCAGTTCTGAGCCAAAATCAAGGTGTCATCAGGGCTGTGTTCCCTCCAGAAGCCTTAGGAGAGAATCTGCTCTTTGCCTGTTCCCGCTTTTGGTGGCTGCTGGCATTTCTAGGCTTATAACTGCATCATTCCAGTCTCTTCTCTGTCTTCACATTGCCTCTCCCGTGCGGTCAACTTTCCCTCTGCCTCTGTTTCATAAGGACACTTGTGATGGCATTTAGGGCCCACCTGGATAGTCCAGAATAATCTTTTCCATCTCAAGATCCTTACCTTAATCATGTCTACAAAAACTTTATGCAGGTATCAGATGACATCACTGGTCCAGGGATTGGGACCTAATATCTTTGAGGACATTTTTCAGTTTATTAAATTAGTGGTTAGTAATGAAAATTTGTGTGTGTGTGTGTGTGTGTGATTTTTTTGTGTGTTGACTTTACATTCTGCAACCTTGCTAAACCAACTTATTAATTCTAGGAGTTTTTGGGTAGATTCCTTAGGATTCTCTACATGGATAATTATGACATCTGCAAATAGGGATGCTTTTATTTCTTTCTTTCCGGTATGTATGACCTTTATTTCTTTTTCTTACCTTATTATATTGACTAAGTATTCCTATACAATGTTGAATAGGAGTAGTGAAAGTGAATATCCTTGTACCTAGTCTTAGAGGAAAGTGTTCAGCCATGTACCATTAAGTATGATATTAGCTGTAAGATTCTGTAGATATTCTTTAATAAGTTCTTTTCTATTCTTTCTTTGCTGAGAATTTTTATTTTATCATGAATGCATGTGGAATTTTGTCACATGATCTTTCTGTATCAATTATCTATTGTCTTCTCCTTAACTTATTAGTATGATGGATTACATTGACTGATTTCCAAACATTGAATCAACCTTGCATTAATGAGACAAATCCCACTTTGTCACGGAGTATTATTATTTTTATACATTGCTTATTTTGATTTGGAATATTTTGTTGAGGATTTTTATGTCCATGTTCATTAGAGATATTGGTTTGTAGCTGTCTCATCTTATCTCTGTCTGGTTCTTGTATCAGAGTAATTCTGGCCTTTTAAGATAAAATAGGACATGTTCCCTCATATTCTACTTTCTGAAAGAGACTCTGGAGATTTGGTGTTTATATGTTTTATGGAATTTGCCAATGAAATCATTTGGGCCTAGTGCTGTTATTTTTCAGAAAGTTTTTGACTACAAATTAAGTTTCATTAATCTTATTTGACTATTCTGGTTATCTATTTTATCTTGAATAAGTTTCAGTAGTTTGTAGTTTTTGAGAAATTGGTCCATTTCATCTAAGTTGTCAAAAGTATATGCATAGGGTTGTTCATAACATTCTGACATTATTCTTGTATTACCTGCAGAATCTATAGTCATATCTCCTTTTTTCTTTTCTGGTAATATGTGCTTTCACTTTTGTTTTGTTGTCAGTCTTGCTCATGAGTTATTAATGTTATGGATCTTTTGAAAGAACCAGCATTTGGTTTTTTTTCTTTTCCCCTCTTGTTTTTCTGTTTTCAATTTCACCAATTTATTTTATCTTTATTATTTCCTTCCTTTTGCTTGCTTTGAGTTTAAGTTGCTCTTCTTTTTTCTAGTTTCTAAGTTGAAGCTTAAATTGTTTGAGATCTTTCTTCTTTCCTAATATAAACACTTAATGCTATAAATTTCCTTTTTTCAGTATTATTTTAGCTGCATTCAACAAATTTTAATGTATTGTATTTTCATTTTCATTTAGTTCAAAATATTTTCTAATATTCTTTGAGACTTACTCTTTGACCCATTGAGTATATAGAAGGGTGTTGTTTAATTTCCAAGTGCCCTATTATCTTTGATATTGATTTCTAGTTTAATTCCATTATGATGCAGAGTATTTTGTATAATTTCAATTCTTTGCATATGTTAAGGTTTGTTTTATGATCCATAATATGGTCAACCTCGTGACTTTTTTGTTGTCTGGGTATTGGGTTTCCTTTCATGCTTCTAAACTGGGCCCACTGGTTTGCATATCCACTCAGAATTCTTCCTGGAAGGTTGTCACTCACAGCCAATTCTTTCCTTTGTCTAGAACCTCCAGGATGTGAGAAGTGACAATGAGGATGAGGAGGAAGAGGACGAGGAAGAGGAAGAGGAGGAAGAAGAAGAGGAGGCTACCAAAGGCAAAGAGATAGACTCTTTGAAGAACGGCCTTGGGGCCGACAGACATCTCATTCCCAATGGTCAGCATGGCCGTTAGCTTGAAGCCCACATAACTCCCATGGCACAGCGTGCTGCAAGGGCTGTTGGAAGCGTGGAATAATCCCCTATTGATTGCTGAGGCCTAGAGGACCCACAGAGACCCCAGACCCCAGATTCTGCCCTTCCTTCTTTCTAACCCCCACCTTCCTTCCTACCTAAGATGTGTTTAACAAACCGTTGTTAACTTGTGTTGAAATGTTAAATATAAGCATGCCCGTGGATTTTACTGCAGTTAGGACTCAGACTGGTCAAAGATTTCAAAGATTTCTCCCAAGAACCGTGTCAGTTCTAATTGCATTCCTTCATGCATTTGACTTTTTCAGGAGCTCACTTTGTTGTAGGCCTTTTCACCTTCTCACCTTCCCTATCCTCAGGATGGTTCGACAAGTGCTAAGTAAACCCACTTTTTCCAGGTGTGTTTGGCCACAAAGAGCAGCTGATTTCCCAAAAATGAGCTAGAAGTGGCAATGGAACAGAGACAGAAGGACCAAGGCAGGAGACAGGCCTCCAGGGTTCTAGGACCACTTCCTACCTAAGCAAACTTAGGTGCTTATCTCTACGATGCAGATGGTAATCCCTGCCTCGCCACCTCACAGGGTTGGAGTAAGGATCAAATGAGATAGCAGAAGTGAAAGCATATACTGTCCACTGTGGCGGTATTGTTAATGGGCCCTCTTTGTGCTATGATTCCAGCTCTATTTGGGAGAGAGAAACCTGGCTAACCTTGGCATTGAATGAGCCTGAATGAAAGGCACAATCTTAAAAAAATCCCTCTTAAATGCGTCTGGAGATACCTGAAAATGAAAATACCAAGAAGGCTGTTTCCATTTTATCTGGTAACTATTTATTTGTTAGTTCCATAAGGATAACTCTCCAATTCCCCTGGAATTCTCCTTCCTCAGGCCCCATGGCCAAGGAAAGGGAGTTTGGGCCCTGTTCATTCTTGTCCTTTGCTGTCTCTCACTTTTTACCTCTCTGAGAGGGAGGCTTCCTGCTGCTGCCCTGGCCCCTCCCTCAGGCCAGCCGAGCTACCCAGCGCACTGTATAGGTCCAGCTGGGGCCTCTCTCTGGGGTCAAACCCAGGTCAGGTTGCTCACTGGGCCACATGCCCCAGGAAGTCTGAGCCTCCAGGGAGGACACACATGTGAGCTGCCTGACCCAAAGGAAATCTTGTAAACAGAAAGAGGACGCTACATGAGTTCATCTCAGCATCCAATCCAATCAGACTCCATAACCATAAAACAGCACAACACAAAAGGCTGAAAAATACCTCTGAGAAATGTCCAAGGACAGGTGCTAGAGTAAAAGACAGCTCCATGGGAGGAGGGATAGGGGCCAGTAGGTCAGTAGCCAGCTCTCCCTCACCCTCCGGAAACCCTTCGCAGCTTTCTTCACTGCAGGGGACACATTTTCTGAGCACAGTGTACGGGGCCAACCTTGGAGACTGCTCAGGTGCTCACAAACCAAGGAGAGGCTGAGCCTTCAAAGGAAGAGCTTGAACAGACTGTGCACCCTCCCTTCACCTCCACCCCAGTCTCTCATATTCTAGGATGAGATTTTGTATTTTCATCCTATTTTGCTCAGGGGCTCATATTATAAAGCCAGATGGGAGGTTGAACTGGAAAACCAGCCCCACCAGTGCAAGCTACAGGGCCCCTTCACTGTACACAGAAAAGAGGCCTGAGTGCTTTGCTTTTTAATAAAAATATGTTTTTAAAACCTTCAGGCTAAACAGAAGCAAACAGACAAAAAAACCTCTTTAGAATCTTTCTTTCTCCAACAAAATCTCTTTTTGAGAAATCATTAGAAGAAAAACCAGTGTCAAATTTTCTCTGCATAATTTTTGCCTTTATGAATACAATAACATGCACTATATGTATAAAGTGATATTATAAATCTAAAATACCTCCACTCACTTGAGGGTATAGCTGTTCTTTTATTAATATTATTATTATTTTGGTGGAAGAAGATATTATTTTTTATGTTTCCAGTTAACAGACTATTTTTTCCTTGATTTATTTTGCTCTTGTCTCTGTACCAAATATCTTCTTGCTTAAGGTAAAAAATTGTTTAATTCTCTGTTGTCCACATTGTTTTTCTCATTTGAATGTTGAAGGTAAAGTTGATACCCTGATCTCAAATATCTCGTATACAGCCGGAAGCACTAAACTACTTCATAAGAGGTAGATATGCATTTTTGTAACATCCTCAGGGCTTTTGTGGTTAATTTTAAAGGTAACCTCTCTTTCTGCAGGAAACAAGGGTGCAGGACTTTGCCAGACAACTTTATAAAACTTCAATCCGCAGTGCCATCAGTATTGTAATGGTAAATAATTTATAATAAAAGAAAAATAAAAATGTTCATCATGATTGAGTAGATTCAGCCATGCATTGTTGGGCTTCTTAGAGATAAACCAGATCTCCCTGCCTAGTGGAAACAAAGATTTTCCAGTCCTCCAGAAAACCCTCTTAGGAATCAGAGAGAAACAGAGAGGAGAGGGGGCCATGTTCCAACATTCAGGCTACTGGCTTTGTGATAGCAGACACCAGCTGAGAGGAGGTGGTCAGACCTAGCTGCCAACCCCATGCCTGACTGCAGTGAGCCTCTTGGCTAAGCTCAGTGGAGACAACCAGCCAGCCTAGGCGCTGGAGTCTGACCAGGGCATGACATCTGGACCCTGTGCAGGAACTGTTGAAGTACTAAGAAAGGAGACCGATTCTAAAGGTATTTTATTAGCCACATATTCTGTATGTACTTTTCAAAGATGTAGGAGGAAATAGAGTGTAGATTGATGGTTCAACTGGCTGTCCATCAGAATTATCTATGGAGCTTTAAAACAACGCACCTTATCTGCTGCCTGCCCACATTCTGATTTAGTATTTCTGGGTGAGAAGCAGAAATCTGCATTTTAACAGATTTATTTATTTATTTATTTATTGAAATACTACGTTGGCTAGGATGAAAAATACAAAGCTAAATGTATTAAGAATGATGAGTATCCTTGAGGATAATGGGCACCCTTGTCTTAACACCAATCTGAAGGGGAATAGCATGCTCGTGGGGTGCCCCTCATCCCACAGGAAGGCCGTGTTCCCAGCTCGGGCTGGGATCCTGGACAGGGAAACTCCCAGCCTGCATCACAGTCATGGGGGAGACTGGCTGGCTTGAGGTCCTGACTGCTGGCAGAGGCCAGGGGGGAAACCACAGAATAAGGAAGGGTGAAAAGGATCCAGGCCTCCTCCAGATGCCTGATTGAGGGTCTCAAAAAGCCTCGCCTCCACGTGCAGACTTTCTGGTTGAGTGGGGCCACTTCAGCCCCTCCCTGACAGCTTTTCCCAGAGGCGGGGAGTGGACCTTTGACCCCTGCAGATCCCTTTGCCAGCATTTGTGGAGCTTGATCACTGGCTTACCCAACCCAGCCCTGTCCAGCCTCACTCCCCCACCTGCCTCTGCTGTGGTAGAGAATGAGGAATCACCTGGAAGTTCCAGGGTACCACCTACCACCTGGGGCATTAGAGTGCTTCTCTTGAGAAAGTAGAGCTGGTGACAGGACCCAAAAACAACATTGCAGCTTGTTCCTTCGAGCAAGCATCACCTACTGACAAGGAGGTCAATTTTCATATCCTGTTTACAGCATTTACTGACTCATCATACAGGGTGTGGTTGATTCTCACTCACAAGCACAACCTACTGGCTCAGAGATTAAACTATGTATGTCATAATCTAAACAAAAGAAAATCCAAAAGTAAGAAGCAACAGCTGCTCCAGATGAGAAGGAATCAGTGAAAGAATTCTGCAAGTATGAAAAATCAGAGTGAAAGGACACCCCCAAAAGGGAATACTAGCTCTCTAGCAATGGATACCAACTAAAATCAGAATATTGAAATGACAGATGAAAAATTTCAAACATCGATTATAAAGAAGCTCAATGAAATGCAAGATAAAATGGAAAGCCAACACAAAGAAACCACAAAAACAATGCAGAAAATGAATGAACAATTTACTAAATAAATTATTAAAGAAAAATCAAACAGAACTTCTGGAAATAAAAATTCATTCAAGCTATTACAAAACACAGTGGAAAGCCTTGAGAATAGGTTAGAACAGGCAGAAGAAAGAATCTCAGAGCTTGACAACAACATCTTTCGATTAAACAAGTCAGTCAAAGAGCAGAGAAATAAGAGGAACAAGCAAAGCCTATAAGAAATATGGGATTATGTAAAGAGGCTTAACATAAGAATCATAAGCATCCCTGAGGGCAAAGAAGAAAATACACAAGGGTTCGGTAATCTATTAGTATTTGAGGGAATAATTGAGGAAAATTTCCCTGGTCTTGCTAGACAGCTAGATATCCAGGTACAAGAAGCTCAGAGGACTCCTGGGAGATTCATCACAAAGAGGCAAACACCATGACACATAGTCATCAGACTGGCCAAAATAAACATAAAAAAGACACTCCTACAAGCCTTAAGGTGAAAGCAGCAGGTAACTTACAAAGGAAAACCCATCAGACTAATTGCAGAATTCTCAACTGGGACCTTACAAACCAGAGAAATTGGGGCCCCATTCTCAGTATTCTCAAACAAAATAATGGCCAGCCTAGAATTTTGTATCCTGCAAAACTAAGTTTCATATATAGGGGGAAATAAAGTCTGTCTCAGACAAACAAACACTGAGGGAATTTGTCAAGACAAGACCTGACCTGCAGGAAGTATTCATAACTGCATTATACACAGATCAACACAATAGACACCCCCCAGTGTAAAATCACCCAAAAGCTAAAAGTCAAAGGCCAGATGCCAGAATAGCACAGGAGAGAAAACAAAGCAACAAAGTTCTACTCAACAGGATAAAGAGAAATTTACCCCACATATCAATTCTTTCAATAAACGTGAATGGCTTGAACTCCCCACTGAAGAGATATACAAGGCAAGTATCTGCTGTCTCAAGGAAACACATTTAACTGACAAGGACTCATTCAGACTCAAGGTGAAAAG